GCCTGCTCTTCCAAAGGTCCTGAGTTCAATTCCCAGCAACCACATGGTGGCTCACAACCATCTGTAATGGGGTCTGGTGCCCTCTTCTGGCCTCCAGGCATACACACAGACAGAATATTGTATACATAATAAATAAATACTTAAAAAAAAAAAAAGAACGAAAGCACAAAAATAACAGCCAAACTTTTATCAAGAGACATAAGAAAACTCAATCAGGAAAAATGTGAACTTGACCAATGTTACCTATAAATGTACAAGCACAGACTAATAAACACAGATTTCACAACTCCCACAGAAATAACTCAAGGTCACCCCTCGACTGCTGTATTTATCACCCTCCAGTTACTAGTGATCTCTCTTCCAAACAGAGGCCCATGCTCTAAAGCTCCCTGGAAATGGAGGTGATCAGGAAGATTGGCTATGGATATGCACCCCGTCATCCCCCCTGTGGTTTCAGGTGAACCCACTCTGTCTGATGCCCACACACAAAACACTGTTGCAGAATAATGTCTGCTTCCTGCCACACGGATTAGGGCAGAAGATGTGAAATCTGCCCTATCCACAATGCCGTGAACACCCGAGGAACCTCTGCAGCTCAGAAATTCCTTGTGTTCTCAGGACTCGAATTCCCCTGAATCATGCTAATGTGGATGGTGGCAGAGAAAAGTTAAAAGCATTCCAACCAAGTATTTCTGAAGGATGATGCCCATTACCTTACTTCTAGTAGTTTCTAAACTATTAATGAAACTTATCACACGAAATTGAACGTGGAATTTAGTGCTGACCTTCAGTTTTTCCAGTTTGTCCTCTCACGTCACACTAAGAGCAATGCCTGTACCACATCCCCCACTGCGCAGTCACCCATGCCTAGGTAACATACACTCGGGGAGGCTTAGAGAAGGGCCACTGCCCAGATCAACCCACGGGACAACAGAACCAGTGTTTTTCTTTTGTTCTTTCTTTCTTTCTTTCTTTCTTTCTTTCTTTTTTTTTTTTTTTTTTTTTTTGTTTTTCGAGACAGGGTTTCTCTGTAGCTTTGGTGCCTGTCCTGGAACTAGCTCTGTAGATCAGGCTGGTCTCGAACTCACAGAGATCCGCCTGCCTCTGCCTCCCGAGTGCTGGGATTAAAGGCGTGCGCCACAGCCCGGCAGAACCAGAGTTTTTCATGGTCCATTCACTTCCCAGCAGATCTGACAGCTCAGCCAACTTCTGTGCAGAAGGTAATGCACCCCTATTCACAAAGGCATGGCTTCTGGTCTACCTCTTGACTCCCTATAGCTGCATCAGAGGAGAACCCTGGGAAAACATACTGTCTACCTCTCACTAGTGCTCCTGAATGCTAGGCTTGCCCAGAATCCCTCACTTAGTATTACCTGGCTGGGCCTCAGGACACTAGCAGCTCCCCTATTACAAAAGCGGAGATCAAATGACCAAGGCTGCACAGGCCTTCCCAGGTCTGCTCTTCCACCCCAGGGACATACAGGGCTGTAGTCGGGGAAATTCGTACTTTAGTAGAAACTCTTTCAATCTCTCAGAGCACTTCCTGTTCCTCTTCTAAGATACTGTGTCCCATGTACGTGTATTCCATTACACAGTCACTGAACAGTGCAGCCAACCCTTCCCTTCATAGCTGGAAAGTCCTGCAGCCACATACAGGTCACGTGCAAACAGTAGCTGCTGCTACAGCAAAAAGAGGCCATGAAATAGAAAACAACAAAGGGTCTCTGGAAGGGCTTAGAGGCAGGGAAGAGATAATGGGAATGCGATTATGATCCCCCACCATTGTTTTAAAAGTTAAACCAGGTTTTACGGCCATGTGATCCAGAGGCTAGGAATTTGTATTAGCCGCACATTTTCTCTCATGTTGTCCATCTTAAGCCTTCTTTTAGTCAGGCCCACACCATTTCATCCAGTTCTATTTTTGTCAAACTCATATAACTACTGTAATTTGGGTTCAGGACAGGTTCAGTTTTTTATCCAGAGTCTTGATTCCCTGATCTGTGGTTGCGAGAAACGGTGTCAGGACATTTATGAATCATCTCAAATCCATTTCCTCACTACTCATTTCTAACGTGAGCTACAGTCAAAGAGGAAAGTTTTCCTGCTCCTTGCCCAGGCCTTTCTGTGCTGGGACTACACCTGCTTTAAAGTGGGTCAGTTAACGCAACTCTCACACAGATCCTTCTTCCTTTGTTACTTTGCAAAAAAAAAAAAAAAAAAAAATACAGAGAATGTGGAGGGCACTCATCAACTGGTTGATTTTTTGTTCTCACCGACCAGCTAAGGTCCAACCTTGTAGCAGCTGCAGAACTTTCTTTCCAGCACTGGGCAGCAGAAACAGGATTAGGTGTGCAAAGAAAACCTCAACTACACACTGTGAGGCAAGCCGAAGCTACAGAAGAAGGCTTTGCTCTAAACAGAGATAAAAAACCAACAGTGCTTCAGTAAAGTGGAAGGAACTTCTTAATGACTTGAAAACAATGGGAAATAGAAACAAATAAAAGATTAGAGCAATGATGCTTTTAGAGAAAAATCAAATTTCAAAAGTGAAACAATTATCTTTTTAAAAAGATAAAAATAACAGAAAAAAACATAGCTATACTGACTTTGCAAAGGGAAAAACCTTCCCTGTTGAGGCGATGACTTTAATAAGGTATCATTTCACGGTGCTGTGTTAGCTGCAGCGACTGTGACCTGACACACAGCTAGAGCTAATGTATGTACGCATGACAAGCAGACTGAACACATCTGCAGAGAAGATTCACTTGTTGATCCTGACTACACATTGGCTCAATCTAACCTTCCCATTTGTATACCCCAAATCGGGCCTGCCTTCATCCACATGACATGGATCAATACATGCTGGGAAATTACAAAATCACTGATCCTGCCACAAGCAGGTCCTATTTCATAATGACTCCAGCAGCTCCTTGCCCTCTGCGTTTTCCCTTACATCCTACACAATAAACTATTCCTCCTATTCTGGTCTGAAAGTGGAAGCCATGCTCCACACACAAATCCTTTTCCTGTTACTGAAATGGCAGTTGACTACATGATTCAAATTTGTAATTTTAAAACCCAGTGGTGACTGAGTCCTTTCACCTAAGAATTTAGTTGGTTTAATCACAAGCACAAGGTCATTGCTCTATGGAGCTATGGAGTGGGAGTAAGGCTTCCTGATTCAACTTAAGAAAGCTTGTCTCAGAAACATTTTTCTAAAAGGTTTCAGAGACTGCTGTTCTAGAATTAATACACCTTCCCAGGGAGCAATTATTCCACACACTTAAGAGGTTAATAAACAAAAATTTCGTTAATGACAGCATGCTCCAGCGGTGGCCAACGCTAACAGAGGAGCCAGCCTGGCACAGATTTTGCATTCCATCTCTGCTGTCACCACTAAGTCCCTTTAAGGTTCAGGCCCAAGGTTAGACTTTGAACAATTTAAAAAGGTTCAGAGGAAGGAAAATCTAGCCACTTAGGCAGATGGAGACTTACAAAACTATCTTTTAAATCATGCACTATGATCTAAATATAACTATATCACAAGGTATGGTTTAAAAGAGAAATAGAAAGCCGGGTGGTGGTGGCGCACGCCTTTAATCCCAGCACTCGGGAGGCAGAGGCAGGCGGGTCTCTGTGAGTTCGAGACCAGCCTGGTCTACAAGAGCTAGTTCCAGGACAGGCTCCAAAACCACAGAGAAACCCTGTCTCGAAAAACCAAAAACCAAAAAAAAAAAAAAAAAAAAAAAAAAAAAAAAAAAAAAAAAAAAAAAAAAAAAAAAAAAAAAAAAAGACCATTATATATGATATAAAAGATAAATTTAAAAGACATATCCATGCCACATTCCTGAAACATACAGGATGGAAATGAAAGTTACCTATCCACACTGTAAAGGATGTTCTTAAATAAACAGCAATGCTGAGCTAGTCTAACCCCAGAAGAAGACTTGTTTTGCCTCTGAGCAAGCTGGCTCACAGGAACACTCTAGTTGCCTCTATGAAGGACCAGAAAGAGTTCATGTTAACTACCCAGGAGTGCTATCTGACTCAAGGCTGACATTACTCCGCAGAATTTCATTTTGAAGCGTTATATGGGTGTGTGCCTGCATGTGTCTGGGTGCAGTACCGCAGCGGTCAGAAGAGGGCATCAGATGCCTTGGAACAGGAGTTACTGGACAGGATTAGCAACCGCGGCTTCCGGCAATGGAACCTGTGTCCTCTGCAACAACTCCCAGTGCTCTTAATAGCTAGGTTATCTCTTAAGTCACATTTTTTTATTTAAAATTTATTTTATACATTTAATTAAAGTATACTACATCACTTTCCACCTTCTTTGTCCTCTCTCCGCTCCTTCCCAAATTCTTTCAATTTCTTCCTTATTAAGAACATGTGAACAAGAATGTGTACATACATGAATAAGTCAGCTGGATCCATCTGTTGGTTGTGTTTTATGGCTTCAGGACTGAGCATGCTGTTTCGGATAAACAAATCACAAGCTCTTCCTTGCCTGAGGGGAATTTTACTCTTTATAGAGCAACATGAGTCTGACCCTCATGTGACACAGGCTGCCTTAGACAGAAAACATTATTAAGAAGAGAAAACTTTGAGTGGTTACTACCTCAGCTAACACTTGCTGGTGCCATGGACCTGAAGATGTAGAAATGCTGGGAAGACTATGGACACTGTCCTGAGCCAATCACTGTCTCCCTAGGTTCCACGGTCCTCTGAAAATACCCCATGGGATCATCCTCATCTTGGATGACTCTGAAATTCAGAAATTCTAAGTACCATGACTTAAGGTCTATGCCACTCCATCTGGCTTAAGTAGCTGCAGCTTCATTTAGTGAATCTTTACGATGATGGGATGAGTAAGAGGAGCAGTTTACACTTAAGAATATTCAAAATCCACCTATCTCTGTGTGCCTGGCTTTCATCATCTGCAGAATAAGGATGGTACTCTGCCCTAGTCCCTTGATGAATTATAACAGACTAAAGATAAAAACCAATATTGCTCGCAGTTGGAAGACAGTGGACTCTGAGGCATGAGGACTGCATTTGATGGGAGCGTCCTTCTCTTATGGAATTAGGACCAGAGCCTGGGTCCTGGTTATCTTTACCAGCCAGGTTCAGCCACTCATCCTTATTAAGCCAATTAAAAGAACCAAGTTATATTAAGTGGTGATGGTATATGCCTTTAACCCTAACACTTGGGAGGCAGATGCAGCTGAATTTCTGTAATTTCAAGGCCAGCCTCATCTACAGAGATAGTTCCAGGACAGACAAGTGCTGAGAGCTGCCATGGGGAGTATATAGCAGGTGACAATTAATGTTCAGCAGGTCAACCCATCAGATGCTTGATTCGCTTGTGGGGAGACTGTGGAGACCCCAAAATGCCTATTTCCACATTGATCAAAGGTCAGAGAGTTGGGACTTGTTTCTAGTTCTTTCAAGGTTATTGTATCTCTACTAGATAAATGAAAATTCTGCTTTGAATACACACATGAGGTAGTTAATGTTTATTATATTCTTTTCTATTAAGCCTTTTAACATTAACACTGTTAAATTGTGTTGACAAAACACCACACATTGGGAGTACACCATCTATCTACCCTTGTACTTTACTCAGGAGGTGAACTCATGAGCATCATGAGTTCAAATATACCCTTGGGTCACAGCTAACATCCAACACAGGCTGAAAAAAAAAAAAAAAAAACAAAATCTCAAAGGAGGGGGCTGGAGAGATGGCTCAGAGGTTGAGAGCACTGAATGTTCTTTCGGAGGTCCTGAGTTCAATTCCCAGCAACCACATGGTGGCTCACAACCACTTGTAATAAGATCTGGTGCCCTCTTCTGGCCTGCAGGCATGGAGGCTGAACACTGTGTACATAATAAATAAATCTTTAAAAAAAAATCTCAAAGGAATTTGTGAAAATATGAATAACAAAACCAGAAACAACAAACCTCCACCCTTTCACAGAAACCCTGATAGGGAAAGTATGATGACACCCTGCCTGACTTTTAAATGAACAATAGACTCCTTAAATGACGGGTGTCCCGCTCCATACATTACAGCACAAACACACCCGTCACTAAGGAAAAGCACAACAGAAGATGAACAAGTCATAAAACTCTAAGGGCCACAAAATAAACTTCACTAAATGGATGTGCCCCACATACGGCACACTTTAGTATTTACCTCAAATGTTTCAAATAAAAAGCACCATGATCTCTACTATCAGTCTTGAGTGAAGAAGGTAAACAATTTCCTTCCTTCAAGGCTGTGACGGATAAAGGAAACAGGGCGTCTTTCTGGCTGCTGAAGACTACTGTGACCTGAAGTCCTTTACAGTCCTTTACATCAATAGGGATTCCTCTTGTATGTGTTTGTCCCAATTTCCTGGTTTCAAAATTACGTAAACAGGCTTTACAACATCTACAGGGGAGATGCAAACTGGGCGGGTAAGAAATGGTTATTCCCAGGGTAAAGATCTGATCTTTGAAACCTCCTGTAATTCAAGGGTCTGACATCTGAGGAACAGCATGCACATTCACACACCCACAAACACACAGTGTCAGCACACAATTAAAATAAAATCAACCCTTTAAACAAACACAAACAGCTTTTCACTGATGAAAGTTGTTCCCTTGCAAGCGTTCATTCCCGTACCACAGGTGTTGCGGCATCTAAAGGCTTTTCTTCAACATGAACTGGTTCATACAGCAGAAAGCAAGCATGTAGCCTTGAAGTCAGAGAAATCAATCCTTCTAAATTGGTGGTATCGTTTGGGAGGATTTTAGATATGTCCTACTGAAGGAAATATGGTACTGGGGGGAAGGCTTTGAGAATTCACATCCACGCACCATTCCCAGTTCCCACTGTTAAGGATGCGAGTTCTCAGCCTTCTTACGACATCACTGTGCATTTCCTCCAGAAGGCTATACCCACAGCTGTGAAAGGAAGTTATCCTGGACAGCTACAGTTGTGAGAAGAAAGGTGTCCTGCCTGTTGAGAAGTCATCCTATACCTGAAGCTGCAGAAGGAAGATATCCTGGATACCTGCAGCTCTGGAGAGAAAGCTACTCTGTCTAAATCAGGCTGTACTGACAGCTACGAGGGAAGGTATTAAGGATTCCTACAGCACAGAAGGGAAAGGTACCCTGGCTGGCAGAAGTCAGGCTGTACATACAGCTGTGAAGGGAAGGTATCCTAGGCAACTAAAACCGTGAGGAGAAAGAAAATACTGACAGTCAGGAAGTCAGAACATACCTGAAGTTGTCTTCCGGTGGGAGAATGTGTCCCAGCAGGATCTGGCAATCTTGTTCCTCTGAGAGCCATTCTACCTGGGCTCCACTCCTCTTTGCTAAGAGAGCTTCCCAGCAGCGAAGACAATTGCTGCTCCCCTAAGGGAGTTTCCTAGAAGAGCTGTCCATCTCTTCTCTTCTCTGCTCCACTAGGATCCCAGCAGAGATGCCCGTCACTTCTCTACTCTGACACTACGGAGTTACCCAGCAGAGACGTCCATTTCTTCTCAGCTCTGGCCAACTGTTACTTCTTTGCTTCACTCAACTAAGATAAGTATCCGTCTGCTATGACTCCGGTGAAATGTTTCCAAATCTGCTCCACTCCCCCAGTGGAGTTTCCCAGCAGGTATGTCACTTCCTTCTCGGCTCTGATCCACTTGGGGTTTCCCACCAGAAACGTCCATTGCTCCTAAGCTCTGCTCCACCAGGGAGATTTGCAGAAAGGATTTGACCCTGATCTGCCGAAAGATCGTTCGTCACCCTAAACTCGCTGAAGAAATGTATTTGGAAGTGAGAGCTGTAGGAGGCTGTAAAGGGCAGATGCCAACTAAAAAGGCACAGGGCTATACGGGGCCTCTTATGGACAGAGATTGAGCAGCGAGATTTTCAGGGTGGAAACTGGTCAGGTTTCAACCCCTGAGCTGGCAGACTGGCTAGATTTCAAGCTCAGTTGCTGGTTAGTTCTATCCTCAAAGACTGGTTGGTTTCAGTTATCAGAGATTGGTTGGTTTCATGTTCAGTAGGTCAGGGGAAGAATGTATTTCTTTGGCTTTGGTTTCAAAGCCAACGTGTGTGTCTTTCACTGGCTCTGGTTCAGGATTGAGTGTATTCTTTGGCTGGCCCTTTTACCCTACATATAGGGCTCCATAAATTCAATTTTCCCATGAGTTTGCAGAGGCAAATAATACAAAATGGACATCTTGAATTTTGAAAACATTGTTGACACCATTCAATTTTTCTCTATAGTCTTGAATAGTCTTGAATAAATGTATGTAAGTGTGTTGGATTAGGAACTTACCAAATTCTTTATAACAATACACCCTCAGATTTTTTTCAGGTACTCAAAAACTATTGTAATTAGCAAAGGCACACAAAATATTTTACTCCTTTAAAGTGTAAAACTTTGTTACACTGACTTTATTTTTATGGTTTCTCTGCAATGTTCCTTTTTCTGATGATTTCGAAGATTGCTTATATATGCAAAGTCTTTACCACACACATTACATACATAGGGTTTCTCTCCAGTATGTGTTCTTTCATGCATTTGAAGACCACTATGATGCGCAAAGAATTTACCACAACGATTACATAAATAGGGTTTCTCTCCAGTATGTCTTCTTTTATGTGTTTGGAGAACACTGTGTTGTGCAAAGGCTTTACCACATTCCTTACATTCATAGGGTTTCTCTCCAGTGTGTGTTCTTTTATGTACTCGGAGATGACTGTGATGAGCAAAGGCTTTACCACATTCATTACATTCATAGGGTTTCTCTCCGGTGTGAATTCTTATATGCGTTTTAAGAGCATTGTGATAAGCAAAGGCTTTACCACATTCATTACATTTATAGGGCTTCTCTCCAGTATGTGTTCTTTCATGTATTTGGAGATGACCTTGTTGTACAAAAGCTTTAGAACATAGATAACATTCATAGGGCTTCTCTCCAGTATGTGTTCTTGTATGCATCTGAAGATTATTGTGACGTGCAAAGGTTTTACCACATTGATTACATTCATAGGGTCTCTCTCCAGTATGTGTTCTTTTATGCATTTGAAGAACATGGGAATAAGCAAAGGTTTTACCACATTGATTACATTCATACGGTTTCTCTCCAGTATGTGTTCTTTCATGCATTTGAAGATGACTTTGCTGTGCAAAGGTTTTACCACATTGAATACATTCATAGGGTTTCTCTCCAGTATGTGTTCTTTTATGCGTTTGGAGATGATTGTATCGTACAAAGGCTTTACCACATTGATGACATTTATAGGGTTTCTCGCCAGTATGTGTTCTTTTATGTATTTGAAGATTTTTATTACGTGCAAAGGCTTTACCACATTGATTGCATTGATAGGGTTTCTCTCCAATATATATATTTTCATGCCTTTGAAGATGACTGTCATATGCAAAGGCATTAATACATTGAACATAGACAGGATTATCTCCAGTATGACTTCTTTCAGACCTGCAAGGATAATGGGCACATGTAAATCCCTTATCACACTCAATACACTGTTGAATCTTTATTATCTGTATGAATGAGTTTTACAATTTGGTCCAATTATAAGGAAGAATTAGATCTTAAGGTTTTATATTGCATTTACATTCATGCTACTACCCTTCATTTAGGATAGTTTTCTTTTTTTTTTTTTTCAAGACAGAGTTTCTGTGTGACTTTGGAACCTGTCCTGGAACTCACTCTTGTAGACCAGGCTGGCCTCAAACTCAAGAGATCTGCCTGCCTCTGCCTCCCGAGTGCTGGGATTAAAAGCCTGTTTTCCGTGTTTAAACATTACCTGTGATGCTTAAGATCCTCTGTTAAACAGTTCACACTTAAAGAATCTTTTTTTCTATGAGAGTTTGCACACACTAAAAGACAACTGGAAAAATTCAGATATAGATACGTGGTATAAAGAGTATGGCTTTCCCGACAACAAATGCTCCTTGACTCTGGACTCTAACTGCCCATCTCACTAAACTCAGCATGGTCACAGCAGAAGATGAGGAACACTAGCTTTACTATGACCTATTTGTTTATTAGACGGCTGTGAAGATGGACTCATCACCTCTCCAGCACGCGAACCTTCTGTGATATGAGTGGTATGAAATTAATGAGTAGGCAGTTCCACAGCACAGCTAGGATGCAAACGGGAACATAAGCTAAGGCATTCTTTCCTCGGCTTCTTTCTTAAAATAATGCCTTGCAAATATATTCCATCTATTTGAAACTGAGGTATACGGTTGTGTGAGAATTTAATAATCATGAATTCACATGAAATTGTACTTTTTTACACTGCTGTTTTTGTTTTAAAACTTCCAGGACATATTACCGTTCCTTCAGAGGCAAGTTTGTATCAGCTTGCACGTGATAATTACCTTCCATGTCTTTGAGAACTTTGACAATGTTCTTCAGGATTATGGTTTTCCCAACTGTATCCTAAAATATAGTAGAAAATGTATGAAATATTATTGTAAATTGGGTAAAATTTAAATTACATGAAGGAAATTCAATATTACCTATGATAGTGAGGTTCCTGTAGGTCTCCAGCATCACATCTTTGTAGAGATTCCTCTGGGAAGGATCCAGCAATGTCCACTCTTCCCAAGTGAAGTCAACATGCACATCATCATAGGTCACTGCATTCTGAAATGTCCACACATTGCACAACAGAAAGCATGAGAATGACAACACTGTAAATGTTTACTTCTTTGGCAATATAGTCATGATGCTAGTACTCCGTACACTTATTCCATTATATAGACATTATAATGTAATCACCAAGTCTCCTTGGAAGGAAACCGAATAGGAGGTTCACCTGTCATTTCTGTACTCTGTGACTGGGATATCACTTTGCAAGAAAAATGTCTAATAAAACATAGACACTTGTATCACAGAAACACAGACCAACAGTACACACTACACAGGACAGAAATTGTATGAACAATTGCTAAGTACAAAGAGAAAAATAATATTGACAGGCTGGGTATATTGAATTACACCTTTAAATGGGGAAATCAGAAGTCAGAGACAGGTATATCTGCCTCAGAGTTGAATGCCAGCCTAGTCTATGAAGTCAGTTCCAGGACAGCCAGAGGGAGATATTAAGATCCTGTCTCCCGTGCAAAATCATTCAAACAACCAAAAAATAGAAAGAACTCAAGAGATTCTTACTAGATGTATTAAGACAGAACATCAATAAGGTTTTTCTAAAAGGCACTGCATCTTTAAGCAGTTACAAACGGACAGATGAACATTAGCAATTTCAGTGTTGATCACAAATATTCAACACAGGGTAGAAAAGATCTCTCATTGATAAGGAGCCCTTGTTAGTCTAGCATGTAGGTGGGTTCAATTACTAGGATTTACTTCAGGGAACCCAACCAGCCATCTTTCAAGTTCAGATTTTTTTGGGGGACCACGTTTTGATCTCTGTGAGGACCAGGCACCCATGTTGTGCATCTCCATGTATACAGGTAAAATACTCATGAACATTAAAAAATTCGAGACAAACACAAAACACACGTAGAAGGTGATGTACAGGCAATCCAGTGAATGAGAAGGCTCAGGCAGAATTAATGTAATGGGTTCATGCCATCCTGGGAAACAGAAAGAGAACCTCTGTAAAATTTTAAAATTCAAGATAAGCGTGAAGCTCAGTACTACAGCATATGCTTGACATGGGACACAAACCTACATCCCAGGCACATCATACAATGACATGAAAACAAAGAGCCAGGAATTTGTGATCACTTTTAATCCAAGCACTTGGGATACAGACTCAAGGGGATCTCCGAATCTGAGGATACTCTGAGGCCAGCTGGTGTAGAGAGCTACTTCAGGAGAGTAAGGGCGACACAGAAAAATCTTGTTTTTACAATCAGATAATTAACAGAAGCATAGCAAACTGGCTTAGCACTGAGTAGTAATTGCTTGTCCTGTATCTTATGTGATTTAGAGATAGAGTTTATAATGTCGGTGAAGCCATGATAGCACAATAAGGAACTTATTAGTTTCAATTACTGCAGAGCAGACACAAAAGAACAGAAAATGGGCTGAGAAACTCCTATCACGTACCTAACAAGGAGTCATCCAGAAATGCTCCTCCTATTAATGGTTTCACAAGCAATTGAAAGAAAAGTCACCAAGAGATACATGTTCAAATAAATTATCATCTGGACTTAATCAACCACATTCTGAACAAGGTCACTATAGGCTAATGGCCATGCATGAAGAAAATGCAATTAGGCTGGGCGGTGGTGGCGCAAGCCTTTAATCCCAGCACTTGGGAGGCAGAGGCAGGCAGATCTCCGTGAGTTCAAGGCCAGCCTGGTCTACAAGAGCTAGTTCCAGGACAGGCTCCAAAGCTTCAGAGAAACCCTGTCTCCAAAAACAAAACAAAAAAAAATGCAATCAGTCACTTCAATGACCCTTATCATCTGCAGCAGCACTTACAATGTTCAGATGTACAACCTCTCTTCAGACACACGACAATCTCTTGACAGTGACATATTATAGATTCAGAAAACAAGTTATATCTTTCCAACATACAATTTCACATAACACTATTCCTCTTACGAGAGACAAATGGAGATACAGTGAGGGAATACTGCCCCAAGGAAACACCAAAGCACAGCAGAAAAATTAAATCCTGTCGTTTTGGCTCAGATATATATGGCTACAGTTTCGGAGGATGCCCCTCTCCTTGCAACTTCTCTTTTTGGTTATTTTTACTCCTATATGCCAGTCCGTATATAGTTCTTTACAGAATACGTCTCATGGTTTAGGTATCTCAATGTCTTGATCTCAAAACACAACTCAGGCTACTATAGAATATTAACATTTGTGAATGCTTTGGAGCATTTTTTAAATGATGAAAGATGTCTCATATTCTTTTTTTTAAATATTTATTTATTTATTATGTATACAATGTTCTGTCTGTGTGTATGTCTGCAGGCCAGAAGAGGGCACCAGACCTCATTTAAGATGGTTGTGAGCCACCATGTGGTTGCTGGGAATTGAACTCAGGACCTTTGGAAGAGCAGGTAATGCTCTTAACCGCTGAGCCATCTCTCCAGCCTGTCTCATATTCTTTTATGGTGCAAGTGTTTAACTCTGTGAAGCTGTGAAAATTTGTCTAAGACCTGAACAGCCAATAGCTTGGCAGGAATCGATAGGTGGTTAGACAGAGGGAAAAACTGGCAGAATAAACTTGGGCAGAAAAAAGGAAGAAGTAATGAGAAGACATCAAAGGCCAGCAAGCCATGGAATAAGAAGTAAAGGTATACTAAATTGACAAAGATAAAAACCCAGAAGTAAAAGGGAGATAGGATTATTTAAGAAAAGCTGGAGAGAAACAAGCCACAGTAAGCTCATACATCCATAAGTAATAAGACTATGTGCCATTTATTTGGTATGCCGTATGCCCTCCAAAAGAATGAAGAGCAAAAGAACTAGCAATTGTGGTAAACAAGGTTACACAAAAGGACATTTCTAAGCATAAATCAAACAGAATGCCCTTCCCTTTGGGGCTACACAAAAGGTGTGGCAAAGGTATGCATTGGGCCAACGGATGCAGATCCACAATGGACAGTTAAGGTAATCATTTCCCATTGGGAAATGCCTTGAGGGGTTCTTGCAGGTTCCCATGCCAAATTTGGTTCAGTCTTTAGTTGAGAAAACTCCTTCCTGTAGTAATGAAGGAACCTAATACCTATTAGAAGAAACCATACTGCTCTGGATGATGGAAAATCTATAGAAGAGAGAACAAAAAAATATAGGAAAATCCCAGCACTTGGGGCAGAAGCAGGTGGATCTCTGTGAGTTCAAAGACAGCCTGGTCTACAGAGTGAGTTTCAGGACAAAGAAACAGAGAAACCCTGTCTCAAAAAGCCAAAAATTAAAAATAAAAGTAGAGAGTTTAAAATAAAGTCATATAAAGTTGGAAAACACCCAGAGAATCTGGATACTGTATGTTATTATGGTCTCTTTGAATTGTTTGAATGCTGAGGAAGGAACAACAGCTGCTGAAAGATATTTGTTAATAAATGTTGCTGAATTAATCCAAGATAGGTATTTTGAAATCACCTTGACTTCATAGTTGAAGTCAAAAGGTATGTTACTTTGGAGAAGAGGTTTTGCTTTTGTTTCCACAGGAAATGAAAGCCTGTGGTTTCATTCCAGGTTAAGGAAACTCAGGTTTGATCAAGGAAGACCCCTGGAAATCTCCAATAGGAGCAGATGGCCAAGATGTCTGAGTTCTACATCCATAACAGATTCAAGACTGCTGGCTGAGATGATCAAGCCTCACAGGATACTCCAGTTATGACTTGATTATAATTGTAAATTTGCTTTAGGTCCGAATAAGATTATCAGTGCCCCCAATCAGCAGGAAGGAGCTTTGAAAACTATGCCCACATTCCCAAAAAATAACTATGGATATTTTCCATTAATTAGAATGTTGCTTACAAATTGTTATAGATTAATGGTCAAGAGAAAAGCTAAACAAAGGATATTAGATTCAGAGTTCTTGTTTGAAAAAAAGGAGGGGGAGGAAGTGCTGTGGGACAATGGTCTTTTATCCTGTCTCTTGTATTATTTTTAATAAAATGCTGATTGGTCAGTAGCCAGGCAGCAAGTATGAGTGGGGTGATCAGGCAGGAAGTAGAGTCAGGGCAATGAGAACAAGAGAATTCTGGGAGGAGGAAATTCTGGGAGTCGGTCAGCAGTAGTGACCCAGATGCAAAGGAAGCAAGATAGCAAGATGTGACTGCTTTGCTAAAAAGGTAGCAAGCCACAAGACTAACACAGATGAGAACTATAAACTATTGTAAGTTCTAAGAGCTAATAAGAAGCCTGAGCTACTAGGCCAATCAGTGTAATTAATGTAGACAGCAGTGTGATTCCTTTGGGACTGAACAATTGTGGGACTGGGCAGGACAGAAAATCTCAGTCAACATGTAAAGCAAATATTTTGGCAAACTTCTATAAATGAACAAAGACCAAAGTTAAAAATACAAATAAAAAAACATTGTCATTGAAGGTCTCCTAGACACAGGTGTGATGTAACAATAATTGCATCAAGATTATGGCATCTGAGTTCGAGGCCAAACTGGTCTACAAGAGGTAGTTCTAGAACAGGCTCCAAAAGCTAAAGAGAAACCCTGACTCAAAAAAAACAAAACAAAACAAAAAACCCAAAACGTTTGAAAGAAAGATTTTCCAATCACTTTGCTACAAGCCAAGGTAATTATTAGGAAATGTCCTCCTTGTTCTTTGTACAACCAAATTCCACTACTGGCAGGAAGTATCTCAGTACTCAAAGGATGGATGGTACTCTCGCAAACGGATGTCTTTCATATGGTGGAATTTGGAAAAACAGATACACCACACCATTGATACCTATTCAGAATTTCAGTGTGCAACTGCCTCGAGTTCTGAAAAAGCTGATTCTGTAAACACACAATTATCAGAGGTTATGGCCATCATGGGAAAACACACAATTATCAGAGGTTATGGCCATCATGGGAATACCTGTACACATTAAGAGCGGCAGTGCTCCAGCGTGTCTTTAGGACGATGAAACACTTTTGTTTATTAACCTATAAAGCATTACAGGTATACCACCCAATCCTACAGGGTAGGCA